TAAGAAATGTCTTCATATATTTCATAGTTAATAAACTGAATGCAATATTTAGTATCTTCATATACTATCTATTGTTGTCTTTGTTTTAAATCCCAAATCACTCTGTATTTTGTTAAGTCTTGTGTAGACTTTGATATAGAATCTGTCAAGTTATAGTCATCATACTATAGTTGAGCAGCTTCTGTTATCACTATGGTTAAAGGAAAAACTATAGGTTAACACTATATATATAATTTTTTTATATTACCTATTTAAGGAGTCTGCCCAAAGGTTTTCTACTAATTGTTATATCTAACACTTCTGCTTGGATGTTTTATTTTAAATTCTCTAAATCTGTAATCTGTATTAACTCACTGTATTATACTTAAATGCTCAGATCATCATCTCAATCTTAGAACTAATTTATTCTTGAGATAAATCCTTCAGAGCCTTTTATGCTTATTTTTATAGCTGACTTAGATATAACTATAACAAAACTAACACTTGTGATTAAGGCTTAATTATTAAACTATTGTATCTTTGTAGAATTTACTTAAATCTCATTATTTATTTCATAGCATAATTCTGATACTTTAGTATATCTCTGCCTTTTTATCTGTCTTTTTATCAAATTTCCAATCCAGATAGCTTGTATAGAATTATAACTAATTCATCAATATATTAGATCAGTCCAATATTCTTTTTCTTTGATTCATTTTAGTAGTCTGGTTGGTAGTATCTCTGAGACTTTCAACCCAAAGGTTCTTACCCATCTGACTACTATAATCAAATATTAGATCTTGGTATCTGTTTCACTAAGCTAGTCTTTACAATAAGATCATCAAAGATCCAACTATCTCTCTATTTAGGTCTTCTCAAATAGACTTCTTGTTATCTAATTTCAATAAATTTATATGACCACAAGAACTTATCTAGTGTTTGCACCATCTGATTTGTCAATTTGTATTCTTCTGTACAACTTTAATATTGCACAGATGCCCCATAACTTGCAGTCATGCTAATGTGACTACTATTACAAATATCCTAATCCAATCATTAGTAACAGTTATCATAATATGAATATTATATAAGTAATTATCCAAATTTTTATTGTTGATGAAATTTGAACATCCAACCTACCACTTGAAGGGTTAACAATCTGACCATTTCACTAGGTTGTCACACCCCTACTCTACAATTTTTACTTAATAATTAAAATTAGTTTACTTAATATATTTTTTATAAAATTACATATAAAAAAAATTTACTATTAGGTTTATATATAATTTTAAAATACTGTTTTCTACCCTTAAAGGCTTATTGCCTCTATTATCATGATTTGAATAAACTTTGAAAATATACAATCTTTATTATTAAGATTTAACAAAGTAAATATTTAACTTTTTGAAGGTATGTCACCTTTATTTCAAAGATTTGAACTGATTAAATTACAACTTAAAAAGACATTTTATTATTATCATTATTAAATATTTAACTTTTAAGGCATACTGTCTTTATTTATTAAAGATTTGAAGGCATATGATACAGCCTTTGTTGTGATTTTAGGAAAAGACAACCATAATTAACGATTTATATGAGAAAAAAGTTTTTAACTTAAGACATACACCTCTTTTTGCATGTTAGTAATTACTTCATTATTTCATTATTAAATACGCTAACTAAAAATGTCTATCAAGGATCAGATCCCAGAATTTATACAGGGATTTCGATCTGGACCGAAGTCCTATGAAAAAATAAATTTTTATCATGTGATTTAAGGATCGAATCCTGACCGATCCCTGCAAGGATCGGTTGGGATTCGATCCCAAAGGACCGAAACTGTTGGTAATACCTTGCGCATTTACCAATCATTTCCATTCTAAAAATATCGTTAGCATTAATAATTTTGTTATATAAATATTTATAAATGTGTGCATGAGAGTGAAAACTGGAAACCGATTTAATGATTTACTATGATCGGTTTTCAGGTTTTCACTCTCACGCACTCAAATAATGCAAAGATTCCATTTTAATAATTAAGGTATTACAAATCACGTGCCTAGTTATATAAATTAGATCAAAATTCGTTTCTGACTTCATCCATTTAATGTTAAGAAGCAGACCGATCATCTTTCCTATAATTAGAAAAGAATCGTTAAAAAAATTCAGCACGAATCAAAAACTTATTGCAATTCCAGGTTCGCAATGGAGTAATAAAGAACTTGAATATTTCAGAATAGAAACTGTTAATGTGGAAGATTTTGGGAAATTTTTTCAAGAAAGTCCTCCAAAGATTGAAAATTTATCTGATCAAGTAAAAGAAGTATTATCCATAGATCTATCTAAAGTAAACGTTTTATCAAGTATAGATTGGAAAAATCTAAAACATGTGCAAGCCTCTAGAGTCATTAAATCTATACTGGCCGTGACAAGGACTCACTTAAGCACTGAAAGCGCTGTAGATGATCTTGCAAAATCTACACTCGAACTTTTCAATTATGATGATAGTGATCTTCGTATACAATCTCGAGAAGAATTGAAGCTGGAAATGTGTGGATCAAGAACATATGCAAAACCTGATATGTGCATTGAAACATCTCGTCTTGTAATCAAGTTGTTAGTACAAAAAAACAAGAGTTATAAGGTTTCCAATCAAGATACTGATGCCGAATCTCAGGTTTTTGCAGAAGCAATTGCTTCGTTTCAAGGAAATAGCAGGGCAAAAAAATTTCAATTACCTTTAGAAGCACAGTTGATTCCCTGTATAACACTCCTTGGAACATATCCCACATTCTATTTATTTAAAGTGACTAAGGTGTTATCGGAATGTGTAAAAAAAGGAAATCGCCCCGAGGAAAAAACTATAGTTAAAAGATATGACATTCCGGCAGAGATAGATCCCTATCTTTTGAGAGACGCGATGCTGGTACAGGAATATAGACAACATGTCTTTCAATGTTATGAAGCCTTCAAAAAGTTTGTGGTAAGTGATATGTAGCAATACACAAATGTTTTACAGTTTTAAGTGATGTAATATTATACTTTGTAATTTTATATATCTGTATCATTTAGCACAATTATTCTTTGTATAATTCATGTTTTAAAAATACAAAATAATCAATGTTTCGGATTTCTTTAAGGATCTGTTTAATAAAAAGTATAAATAATTTTGCCAAGAAAAATTTCCGATCAAAACATGTGGGTTAGCATACATCAACGTCTGGATAATAAACGCATGCAAATAGCCATGCTTTTTAATCGGGTTTAGCTATAAATTCCGTTTATCTTAATGCGAGATATAGTGCCTTTTGGGCTTTATGTCACTGGCATCATTTTTTTATAAAATAAAGAAGGGGTCTCATGGCCTCGCCATTATTTTAACGTACATCTGATCAAAACTGTAATATATAACTAGCAAAGTGAATTATTTTTCTACGAAATGAATTTTTATTTGAGGAATTAGTATTAAGTCATTATTAACATGCGCGGATTGAATAACGATGTTCCGATTTTGTATAAGCTTTACCGGTGTTTAAATCATAATAATAACCTTCATCATCATCAGAAAAAACGCAATATCCTTCATCATCATTATCATCGTTGTTATCGTCGGATAATTCATCATCATTTCCATTATCCTCATCGAAAACATTTACAGATTCTGACTCCTTTGAAATCGATTCAGCAGATATACTTACCTCAGCTTTAGATGAATCGGAGACATGAGATTCGGTAGATATACTGGGACACTTCAAGAACACGGAACCCAGCAGGGACCCGGAAAAATATTAATCTATTTAGATCAATATAAATCAATATTTTTGGGTCAAATCATTGGTAAATCGA